GTAAGAGTCTGTTTCCTGGCACTTTTGGGTCCATGCTACATTTTTCTTGTCACTAATCATTCTTCTTACCTTTGATTGTGCGCTATTGTAATTTTGTCTGGCATTCACTGTTTTTCGAGAAAAGTATATGTAATACAGTTTCATCTTTTCCTCTATTTCTCTCTCAATCTCAGCATCCCACCAATATGGTTTCCTTCTCTTCAATTTTTCCTCCACTAAACCTCCTTCTTTTGGAAAGCTAAGGTTTCTTTTGCAGCTTGAAGAATGCTTGATGTTATGCAATCATACTCTTCATTTGGGTTTTTGCCTGAACATGCATTGAGTTTTTCGTTAAGTCGTTTTTATATAGGTTTTTTATGCCGTAGGATGTATCTACAGTGATCAACTTCTTCTATCCCTGTGCTACTCCAGCTCTTGTTGGTGAAGATTTTGGTCTTGATAAGAAGTGGTAATTTTGGCTTGTTTAGTAATAAGATAGACAATTACTGATCTGAGATTTTGGGAGGGTTTCCTGGAGGAAATCCTAGATTGAAGACGCTCGTAAATGAATGTTGGCTAAATTCGTCCACTGATCTAGAAATGAACGGCAAAACAATCACTCGCGGCTCTCGGTAAATAATAATAATCAAAACATAATTCCGTTACTCCTCTAATAAAACTTGGGTAGTTAAACTTTGTCGGCATCCCTTTAGGGTAATCTCATCAAAAAAGTCGTTTTAAATTTGCCGAGAAGATTTTAGTGCCAATCACTCCCCTTTGAGCGTCAACATCATTAGGGAGTTCAAATAAATAAGACTCCCTGCAGACATTTAAATATTATTCAGTTCCTGCATGGGGACTTAAAGTTCCATTGAAGTTCAGTTAAGAGTCATTTGAAGTATTAATGAAGTCACGGTGGTTACGACTTGGGCTTTTAGGGCGTTTTTACAATCTCTCGCTATACCGAGCGTTCTTCGATCACCTACCATGTCATCTGTGGAGGTATATCGATTCAGGTATCCAACGAAGGAAAACGCTGAGCTCACATAAGCTAGAATAAGAGCAGTTGCTGCAGTGAAGAAGCACCAGCCATATCTGTAGTTGAAATCTGGACCATTGGGGCCATCTTTATGGTACTCGTAGATCTCGGCCAGGGTCTCGGAAAGGGCCGAAACGAAAGTGATTAAGCCACAGCCGAGTGATAAACCTGCAAAGGAAAAATCAATTGAAACGAATTATTGGGAATGTTCCGCTTTATGCGGGAAAATAGTTGTCGTTTAACTTGGAACATTCTGGTCGCTTTGCCTTAAAGTTGTTCGGTCGAGTCGCGAAGAAGTTTAATAATTAACAAGAGCATTTCGAGAAATAGTTTACTAATTATTAGTGTCAGAGGGTCGTCGGGAAGTTGTGAAGAATCCTTTGGAAACTCGAATTATCCCCTGCAAGTAATTAATCAGAAGTTGAGGGGTGGGTATTTACAAACAAAAGGTGAAAGCTAGGTCTCGTTAGTCTCAAATAGCCTTATAGCTGGAAAGTTTTCTTTATCTCGCTGTTTGTTTCTTCCCTTTACGAGGAGGCTTATCAACTTCGCCTCGATGAGGAAAAGTTTGTTAAATTTCTAACATAATGCTCGAGCATTCAGCAGCGAAGACAATAGGATTAGTTTAAGTTAATATCTGTGTATAATGGCCAAGTGACTTTGTTTAAACGGATTTTTTATGGGAGTTTCAGAAGTTTGCCTCCGTCATTCCCGGAAACACGGGACATGAAACAGCAATGTATTTCGAATGAAAACTTCTTCACATCTACGTAAGACAACAGTTGGATTCTAACTTTTTATTTTTTGTTATATACCTACTGGGGCGCAAATTCTTGGTAGATGAATCGTTTATTGCGAAATGCGCCGTTAGCATCAGGTACGTACCTCGTGAGCCAAATACTAATTATTATCAAACTATTTGGAAGCACCCTAGGTTGCCATTAATACTGCTTGAAGGGGGTCCTGTTCATTTCGGCATAACTTGCAGACAAAGACTTGCGGCCAAAATGAAATACAAGGAATTTGTTGTGTACAAAGTTGCCGAGCACTTTGTTCCCCAATAGGGGGAATTGCGAATAAATACTGTTCTATGGATATTTGCCAGTTAGCAGCTCTCCCTATTGAAAGTGTAAAAACAGACTACATTTGAACTGTTCAAAACGACTGCAGGTGGAACAATCCGTTCCCGCATAGGGCAATTTATGAGCAAGAAAATGAACACTGTACAGCAAGTCGCCTGTTACCTCTTCTCCAATTTCCACTGGCCGATTTGTTTAATTTCCGGAACGAATGGCCAAAAACACTTTTGCACTTATTGCCTTCAAACAATGCAGTTTGCAGGCAATGAATACAATTAAATAGAAATGAAATTTCCTTCAAGCAGCCGGCAAAAGACCGACAGAAACACCATATTAAACTTCAATTAGGGCAAAAACGCGGGGACAAATTTCTAGTTGGGAACTTAAGGAAACAATCAGCTGCTGCAAAAACGGGCGACCGAATAGAGGGCAAAAACTAGCCCGACATCCCGGCTTTTGTTCTTCCGCAGTTTCTATTGGACAGGCGGCGATTCCACTGCTAGATAGGTATAATTCGAGCATCAATTCATCCAAATATTTTATTAGTACTGGTTGTTAATAGCGCCCCAATCTATAGGTCTGGTTAGTGCACATTCAACTATATCCTTCGTATATAAAATTTTTTGTTTCGTTTGCTTCGCAATTTGATTATATTTAATGTCTTGATATAATTTCTTTCCCTCATCGCGAGCTGCTGCTTTATTCGCGAACGGACGAAACACTTCACTTTTTGCGGCAAAAAGATCAAAACCTTTCTCTGGCACGATCCAATTTTTTCGGATTTACTTGACATTTGACAAATTACGCGCCTATTTAACTGGAACCCGAATAAACGTCCGCACAGCCGAAAACCAGCAAATTAAGAAGTTAACGGCCTTCGTACCGAACTAATGGGTTTGTTTTACTCTATTTCGCCACGCTAATTAACTACTAATAAGTAATTTATCCTTGTTTTTTAATAATTAAAGTCCGTGGCTTCAGTGCTAGATTTATTTTTATTACTGCGTGTTGGAGGGCGACTTTACTCCGGCCCGGAGAACTAGGAGAAGAATGAACATTTCGCGCAGAAAATAGTGTTTGAGTTGAATTTATTCACGATTTCCCGTTAACGAGCGATTTATGGTCCTAAAGGGAGAACCTCGTCTCCACTCAGCCGAATATTACATAAAATGATTGAAAAACGATCAATTGGGCGAGGTGGAACAGTAGGTAGGCCACCTCGATTACCTCACCTAAACAGTCGGAACTTTTAACCAGTACGCAGAAGCAAAGCACTGAGTTAAAAGTGACTTTTAACGCAATGAAATCGGTTTCTGAATGTTTCCTAGTTAGAATTTAGAGCGCCACGACTGTTAAAAGCTGATTTTTTGAGTGCAAACCGAAAGTAGACTGCTGGTACTTTGCCTATTAAAACTCATAATGTTGAAACCATCCTCAAACCGAACAAAAAAACTCGCGTTCCTCTTTTCCATTGTGCGCTCGGTGCCTTCTCGATGAATAAATGTTTCACTGTTTCTCTCGCCGAGATTGTAAAAACCTTAATAGAACTGGATTTTTACGACTCGCATGCAATGCGACAGATACATTGTTGGAAGGGTTTACTTTTTTCCTTTCGTGTTTTATGGAGATGAATAATTATTTGCCATTCATCACAAGCTGGAAATAATTGCTATCTCGATCTCTCAGCAGAAGGAGAGCGAGACAGTGCTATTGTGGTTTTGCGGTTTTATCAAGTAAAAATTACGGTTTCATAATACCTATGTTGAATGCCTTCTTAAATTTCTATATTGGAAAAATCCAAGCCATAAACGAAATCGTCTTGTTAAATAACCAGAAGCAAAAAGTTGGATTTGCTATAATAAGGCGATCCCGACAAAAAAAGCAAGATGGGTCCTGAAAGCAAAGCCTTGCTTCCGAGGAGATAAACGGATTATTTGTTTTTTTTTGTGCAGAAGTTTGACGACTATCGGTCGACGTGGACGGCAAGGAAAATAAACGATAATACACGTTGATGACCATTTGAAATTCGAAACTCGTTTCGGCCATTAGATTTTTTGAAGGAAAATGTAAAAAATGAAAGTGCTGTTTTAATTATATATCGATTCAGTGTTAAACTCATTCGAAAGTATTAATTAATAAAGGTTTTTATTTACTACTAACCTGCTTATGTTTAATTATTATGGCTAGTTTTTAATTGGACATTTTTTAAAAACATATAATTTTTCATAATTTGGTAGTGTACCATCGCCATGTTTTTTCAATTTAATACTGCATTTCCTAAGAGGCAGATTTATTAAATTTTCACGGTTGGATTTTAGATTTTCACGTTCGCTTTTCGAGGATTGTTGAGGGTTCAGGATAAAAACCCGTTTTTGATACGAAAATAAAAAAAATTGAATTTTTCATAATTTAATAGGGCATGATCGGCATGTATTTTCAAATTAAAATCGCGGTTTCTAAAAGGCAAATTTATGCTATATTCTCAGTTGCATTTTAGATTTTTGCGCTCGCTTTTCTATGCTTGTGGAGGGTTAAGGATTAAGGGCAGTTTTTAATGAGAAATAAAAAAAAACGAATTTTTCACAATTTAGTAAGGTACGATTGTCATGTTTTTCAATTTAAAACCGCGCTTCCTAAGAAGCAAATTTATTCAATTTTCTCGCTTGGATTTTAGATATTCATGTTTCCTTTTCGAGGATTGTTGAGCGTTAAGGATAAAAACCAGTTTTTAATAGGAAATTTTAAAAATCGAATGTTTCATAATTTAGTAGGGTATGATCGGCATGTTTTTTCAAATTAAAATTGCGGTTCCTAAAAGGCAAATTTATGCTATATTCTCAGTTGCATTTTAGATTTTTGCGCCCGCTTTTCTATGCTTGTTGAGGTTTAAGGATTAAGGGCAGTTTTTAATGAGAAATTAAAAAAAAATATTTTTCACAATTTAGTAGGGTACGATTGTCATGTTTTTCAATTGATAACCGCGCTTTCTAAGAGGCAAATTTATTCAACTTTCTCGCTTGGATTTTAGATATTCATGTTTCCTTTTCAAGGATTGTTGACGGTTAAGGAAAAACCCCGTTTTTGATAGGAAATTTTAAAAAGTTGAATGTTTCATAATTTAATAGGGTATGATAGGCATGTTTTTTCAAATTAAAATCGCGGTTCCTAAAAGGCAAATTTATGCTATATTTTCAGTTGCATTTTAGATTTTTGCGCTCGCTTTTCTATGCTTGTTGASAGTTAAGGATTAAGAGCAGTTTTTAATGGGAAATTAAAAATAATTCAATTTTTCATAATTTAATAGGGYASGATTTTCAGGTTTTCAATTTGAAATCGCGKTTTTTAAGAARCAAATTTATTCAATTTTTTCGGTTGGATTTTACATTGTCATGTTCGCTTTTCGAGGATTGTTRCGGGTTAAGGATAAAGACCCGTTTTKGATAGAAATTTGAAAAAGTTGAATTTTCATAATTTAATAGGGTATGATCGGCATGTTTTTTCAAATTAATACCGCGGTTCCTGAAAGGCAAATTTACGCTATATTCTCGGTTGGATTTTAAATTTTTGCGCCTTTTTTCTAGGCTTGTTAAGGGTTGAGGATTAAGGGTAGTTTTTAATGGGAAATTTAAAAAATTAGAATTGTTTATAAGCTAATAGGGTACGATTGTCATGTTTCTTAATTTAAAACCGCCTTTTCTAAGAGGCAAATTTATTCAATTTTCTCGCTTGGATTTTACATATTCATGTTTCCTTTTCGAGGATTCTTGAGGGTTAAGGATAAAACCCCGATTTTTGATAGGAAATTTAAGAAAATTTAATTTTTCATAATTTAATAGGGTATGATCGGCATGTGTTTTCAAATTAAAACTGCGGTTTCTAAAAGGCAAATTTATGCTATATTCCCTGTTAGATTTTAAATTTTTGAGCTCGCTCTTCTAGGCTTGTTGAGCGTTAAGGATTAAGGGCAGTTTTTCCTTCCGGAAAAAACGACAATTTAGTGAATCTTGCAGTGACAGTGATTTAGAAGTGGAAATAGATGGAATCTCGCTTGAACTTAGAGAGGTAGGGAGAGATATGACTTCTCATTACAAAATGAAGTTAATAATGACTTTTCAAGGTCAGTAGAAAAAAAATATCGCCTTGGGTATGGACAGAATATACAATTTTTTAATATTGAATAATTATTCCAATGAGAATCATCCAAGCAGAATTGGAAATAATCGCTAGGTGTCGTGCGGCTCATAAAATAGGATCATTCACTCCAAACCACATTACCCTAACCGTAAAATTCAATTTGCCATTGCCGGTTTCGTGAATTTCGAAATTAATTCTGGAAAATACGCGTCATTCGCTACAAAACAATATACTTATTACTATGTCCCATTTGATTTTAATCGTGAAATAGAGGAAATTAAAATTCATATCCAGGGCCGCACAGCTACCACGATACAACCTCCGTATAAATTTTAATTGCCACTGGAATACCAATTAACCACATTACAAATAACCAATTAGGTTGATCTAGATTGGGTATTGATATGCAAATTGTCTCAATAAAGTATCGTTAGTTGTCATGATCATGAAATAAGCGCCAGCTTTGAATGCTACTTGGAGGACTCCGATTTGGGCAAGCATAAAATACGATCGCGGCATAAACTTACCTCCAAGGATGAAGAGTCCGCATGCAATAATGGTTTTATTGTCGTTGTTACAATGGCCCAGAAGGCCGAAGAAAACTGCCAGAACGAGTAGGATTACGGCACCACTGCACAGGACCGTACATGACCTGAAATCAAAAAAAGATCCTCTGAATCCACTCGAATTTCTCACTGGGGACATGGAAATATCTTAACAGGGTTAGGAATTTTCCTTTTACGAGCGCATTGGACTCTTCGCCCACCAGACGCTCAGATATTCCTCATTATGCACTGGAGAGTCATTTCAATGTTTAGCATGCACCATTTGGCTTCGCTTCACTTAGAGATTCACTATTTTTCATTTCGCTCCTCAAACGTCCCAGAAAGTCACAAATCAGACGTCCATTCTCCACCTCGCCCCCCAACTAATATAATTCACGGTTAACAACGTACAGTTGATAACATCTCGGGATAAAGGAGCCTTTACCGCAATAATTCAATTAGATGTAAAAGCCCTCACGCGCTGGGCCTATTCCACATCGGATAACAATCTGTAACACTTTGGCCAGAATATCAATCTTGCGGCTTAAGGGCACATAATAATTACATTCCAGTTTGGATTTTTTCATGTTGAATAATCAGGTCAAGCAGGCATTTTTACAAAATATGTTCACTGAGATGGACTGGAAAAAACGTGCAAAACCCACATAAAACCGTTGGTTGAAATCAATGCTCAGCGCAGTGGAATCGAATCAATAGCTTGCACAGGAATGATTCGAGATATTGAGATTCCCGAACGTAATATTATCGGTCTTCAGGGATATCGCCTTTGCTTTTAATTGAATTATTGCAGCTACGTAACCCTCTTATCGCATCCCGATTTTGGGCCCACTTGCCCCATACCATAGAGACAACAGAACCAGCCGAGAGATTATAAAATTGTTTTATGGCGCCCGCTAACAAGCTATCAGGGCCGGATGATTAAAGGCGGATTTCGACAATTTATCGCCGAAGAAAGTTAACTGGAATTGAGCAAAAAAAGTACACAATGTGAATTTTAGCCTAGTCTAATGCCGGCGGCTATTTTCCTTTTACATCGCACCTCAAACCAGCGAAACCTCTTTGATTGAGGGCTCACTACCTGACGTTTCCAAGTGGAAATTATAAAGGCAAATTTTATTGCAGGCAGCGAAAAGATAATTTAATTACCCACGGTGTCCGAAATTAATTAATTCCATGGACGGGCGAATGTTGATAATAAATATTTAATTTGCTTGAAGGTTTCAAATGTCCAAGGGAACAAATATTTGTCCCTTCACTATATAGCCGGAAAAGCACTGGTTGTTTCTTTCCGGGCAATCAAAGGCCCTTTTGGATAATTAAATTTAAATTCCTTCTAATAAGTTGATTTTCCGATGCCTGGCAAACTGATTGCAGTTAATTGAAGTTTATTACAGTCTCAATGGGGTAATGCGAACGGCATTTATTCACTGAAATGCATGCAATTACCTTGAATTGTTAATGGGGAAAACTACAAAGAGTGAGATTTCGCTGCCTTTCAACTCCCAACAGGATAAGTTTGCTCACTAATTATTGCCGGCTAAATATTTACTCTAATGTTGCTCATTAAAACCGTGCCTAAACTGAACTTCAAAGGTGGAAGTTTATGGAAAGTTTTAGATTATGTTTTTATTCCTACAAATTGTACAAATTTGTTACTCTAGCGACCAGGGAGTTTGCAAAAATACCTGTTAATTCCAATAAATAATAAAAGTGGAAACTTTCCGTCAGTGCAAAACTGAAATTATTTAAAAAATTAATGCAAATTGACAAAAGCTGGCCAGTGAGGCTTTAGAAATAAATCGCTACAGAAGCTTGTATGTTCTTCAGCCATTTTAATGTAAAATGGAATAAAACACGCTTCCATTTGTCCGGAAATTTTCCACAAAGTAAACGGCTTTGTGCGCCAAAGGTACCTACATTAAACCCTCTGTGCAGCAATAATAATTAAAGTAGATATAATAAATTATTTGATGCGATCTTCAGACCAAATACACCAACTATTTAATCAATTTTAGCAGCCTTCATTTTTTACGATTTGAGCTTTGGCACGTAAACTAGGAATGAAGGTTAATTAAATATTATTGTGGAGGTGGCTTTTGCACAAGTGTCCACTAACATGTTTCTGAACAGCGATCAATGCGAACGCCACACATTTATGGTAAAAAATTCACTCCCGCAGCCCGCAGCTCCCAAACTGTTCCCTTTTTAAAGTCAATATATTAAAAAGCTTTTAAGGCTTTTACTGGAAATTTGAATTCGCACTACAAGTGCTTCGCTTTTCACTTGCCCGAAGAATTAAAAGACACGAGTGAAACATTCAGGCCGGCTTAATGATAGTGAAAGGCGATGTTTAGGAATACTGGAACACTTTCATTTAAATCGCAAAAACCACTGAGACCGTTTTTTTTTTAGTTTTTCGCTAAAAGGTCACGCTTTGCTACAAATCGCAAAAAAACATTTTCAACCTCCAAACTTCATGCCCATTTCCCCATTTCGAGTGTTTTCGTGTTTAAATTTTACTTTTTGTTAGTTACGTTATCATTTGCGTCTTGACGTCTTTAGATTCACCCTGGAATGTTTTCTAGTGTTTTTAAAAACAATGACTGACAAAGAGGAACCTGAAGCGATGCGAAACCTAGTAAATACTAATTCAGTTTGTTTCAACGACAAAACATGCCACTTGCTGACAATAAATTTGCAAGCGTAACATTTCCGATTCCACTCTTGTAAATAATTCCATTGCCTTTCGGCTAATTCCAGGGGAAACTGAAGTTATTTCATGGAAAAATAACATAGAAACAAATGCTATAGAACAGCTTGACAGAAGCTCCGGGTGTTTTACGCTGTAATGGAATGCGGCCCGGGTTAACTGCAAGGGATTACGATATAAAAATAGCGAAACGTGAACGTAATGCGGAAATAATGTTTTTGGAAGTATGCGCATTCTTTGCTGGACCATTTGCAAATTAAAATCGCCAGCGAACAGATTAATTCTATTTTTCAAAAATTCCATATGTTGACTCTCTCTTCGGCCAGACCGAGACGACGAAATGGCGTCCCCAAGAAATAAACACCAATCGAGATTGTCCATAATTCATCATCATGGCGGACAATTAGCGTCTCAAGCTTCCCTCGTCTTATTTTTCACGTTCGAAGATTAATTATCCACCGTTTCCTTTATCGCTGAAAATTTATTAACGTTGTTACGATCTGCTTATTTTTCTAATGGTGTGTCACTCCTTTGTAACAAGGCTGTTTAACAGTCCCGCCATATTGACCCTTCTGAACTTCGCATTATTTTGAGCCTCAGAACTTCTGATGTTTCACAATTAATCACAACAAAGCTGAACCCAAGATGGATGATGTAGAAGAAGATAAGCCCGCATAAATCCCATTGTTAATTTAGATATCGTTAGTACAACGAGGTAGTTCATGTTATAACCGGAATACGTATTTGCTCAACTAATAACTCCTTGAAACTTACGGGAGTCAGTAGATTAATGCGGGAATTAGCCACTGGTAATTGGTCAGATAGTGCTTAATTCATAGTCCAGATTATTAGGAACTTTCGGTATTGGCTCCTAACTCGGATAACGTTATGCCGATAATTCTCAGTATACACGAACTGTTGCTGTATGTGCAGAGTATTATAACAATTTTTCCTGTTGCCACCAAACAATCCTGTTTGGTGGCGACAGGTTTGATCCATTTTCTAGGAACGCAAATGGAAAATTCCTAGCAACTCTTATTTGTCCAAGAAAAATACTGTTATAAAATATCATACGCGCACATCTCTACCGCCAACCACTCTTATTCGCTTTTCCTAAGCAAACAAGGGGAGTAATCAAATCCCGTCTCATCTCATATTTTCGTGAGAACGAAAATATTCCTTTCTCCTCATATTTATATACATATATAGAACATGTAGTGCTCCCAGCTTTAATACAATGCTGGTTCTGTAATAGTTAGGCCTGCATCAAAACTATTCTGTGGATTCAACTCAAAGGCTAAAGTTAAATATTAAGGTTTTACTGACAAGGACTTTCTGTTTAAGTTGTCGTTTTGTTGTTTGTACTCATTGGCTTGCAAACGTTTTCTCTTAAAGTTTACCGCGGAGCTGAACCCCTAATGTAATCCAATATTAAGCATTTGTTTTTAGATGATGTCTTTCTTACGGAGTTTTATTTAATACGGGCACTGCTTAAAACTGTTGAGGTTTTTGCGCTCTTCGAAATGGAAAGAAAAACTCCTGAAGATGCCATTCGGGGAGAAATTATAGAAATTAGAAAGCCCCAGACACTCACTAATTTGATTTCATCACAGAGAAGCAGAGAAACTGTTTCCGAAAAGGTTAAAAGTGGCATTTTAATAATTTTCATCGAAAAGTCCGCACTATTGAAAGTGTCGTTTCGGTTCTACTAGGGAAATGTTATTGAAAGTCTTAAAGGCAAATTGGGCACACCGGCGGGGAAATTTTCTGTTAGCGTCTTGCTTTCGGGGTTTAATAAGCATCAGTATTGGCCTCGATTCTCAATATTCCAGCTAATCCTGGAAATTCCGTGTATTAAGCCCCGAAGTGTATTCACCTTTTGCCTAATAAAATATTATTGCCTGGAGGATAACAATCAATGGAGGTTCTTTCAATTTAATTCATTTGTGTGTAGATTCTAAAATGCAATGGTTAACTTTCTTGGGGATTCGGTCTGGGCAGCAAAATGTAAATTATTCGATATCGGTCAAGAAACTGGGACTTATCTAAAATGTAGAACTAATTTTCTGTTTTTTTCCCCTGAATAATGACTTCAAGTGCCGTTGAACTGATGCTCCACCCCTGATATTGGGAAGCACTTTTCAATCGACTGAGTATCGGCGGTTTCCATTTTATTTCTGGCTCATTAAACGGCAAGTATCAAATGATACGAATTGAAACGACAGGAAAACTCCGATCTATTTGAGAAGAAATGTTTGAGAAAGATTAAACAGGCTTTTCTCTTTACTGAGAGAGAGACGGATCAGGCCAAGAAGCTTTTGTTAAAATTGGAATTTTTACTGCTGACTCGATACTGTTTGGAGCATCGGAAAAGTT